GACTGGAGGGTCCCAGGTTCGATTCCGGTCAAGGGCATGTACCTTGGTTGCAGGCACATCCCCAGTAGGGGGTGTGCAGGAGGCGGCTGATCGATGTTTCTCTCTCATCGATGTTTCTAACTCTCTATTCCTCTCCCTTCCTCTCTGTAGAATATCAGTAGACTATATTAAAAAAAAAATTTGAGGAGTTACAGGATGTGGGATGGAAGCAGACAGAGGAGGATGGACGGACGGATGGATGGACGGACAGACGGATGGATGGATGGATGGGGAAGAGGGTGGACATTAAGGCATGGGAGATGGAGTTTTTATTTTTTAGAATTTTTATGGGTTTATTTAAGCCAAACTAACAAAATATGCCAGGGAGCAGGATCTCAAATGCTCCCTGGAATTTTGTTTTAAATATATTTTTATTGATTTCAGAGAGGAAGGGAGAGGGAGAGAGAGACAGAAACTTCTGTGATTGGCTGCCTCCTGCACGCCCCACACTAGGGATCGAGCTCACAACCCGGCATGTGCCTTTGACCAGGAATCAAGCTGTGACCTCCTGGTTCATAGGTCGATGTTCAACCACTGAGCCACGCCAGCTGGGTTGGAATTGTTTTTTGTATTTGTTTTTAAGTGGGGAGAGAGCATCCTATATAATAAAAGCCCAATATGCTAAGTGTCCGGTCGTCGGGTGACTGGTCGACTGTTCAACCAATCAAAGTATAATATGCTAATGATATGCTAAGGCCACTCAGCTGCTCGCTGTGACGTGCACTGGCCACCAGGGGCAGAGTCAACTGGTCGACCAGTCGCTATGACATACACTGACCACCAGGGGGCAGATGCTCTGACCAGTAGGTTAGCTTGCTGCTGGGGTCCGGCCGACCGGGGACTGAGCAAGATGGGCAGGACATGCCCTGGAGCCCTCAGGCAGTCCCTCCCTGGCCCGATCGTGCACGGGTGGTGTCCCTCGGCCTGGCCTGCACCCTCTCGCAATCCGGGACCCCTCGGGGGATGTTGGAGAGCCAGTTTCAGCCCGATCCTGCAGGCCACTCCCCTCGGGAGGTGCCAGACGCAAGGCTCATGGCTGGCAAGCCTCTCCCGATGGGGACTGATTGGGCACCAGCCCATGGCAGGTGCAGCGGGGCCGGGATGAGCGGGAGTGGCAGGCAGGAGCAGCAGGCGGCATTGGTCTGCAGGTTTTGGCCCATTCCCTGCAGGCCACCCCAAGGGACCCCGCTTGTGCACAAATTCGTGCACCAGGCCTCTAGTTATTTTATAACATTTTATTATGTACTAGAGGCCTGGTGAATGAAAATTCATGCACTGGAGGGGGGGGGGGGCCCTGAGCCTGGCCTAGGTAGTTAGAACGAGAGCTCAGGGGAGGTTAACCTCGGATGGGGAGGGACACCTTGAGGCCGAGAGGATGGATGGAAACACAGTACTTGTGAGGGGCTGATGGAGGCGGGTTCTGAGGGAGCGCCACGGAGGAGGAAGACGGTAAAGGGACCAGGGTCGGGGATGGGCCTGTGGGAAGGGTTTGGACCCCGGATGTGTGCCTTGCTCTGGAAACTATTAAGGTAGCAGTTGTTAAATTATATTGTACGGGTTCAGAATAGAATAGAGCCTAGATCTAGGTATATATTGCATGATAAAAAGGGCATTTCAAATAATATTCAATAAATGGTGTTAATAAAGTTTCCTATCTGGAAAAAAAAAAGATTAAACCCTTATCCCACAAGGACATATTCCACATGTAAAAACAATCATATATATATATTTAATTTTGTCATTCAGTGGAGATCCAGTGTGATGGTTCAGAGCCCACACAGGCTCTGGAATAAAACCCTCTGGCTTCGGGGCCTGACGCTGCCTCTTACAGGCTGTGTGACCCTGGACAAATGGCTTAGACTCTCTGTGCATTTGTTTCCTTTTCTGTAAAATGAAAACATCAGTCACCCCTGCCTTAGGGCTGCTGCTGCGAGGCGCAAACGGTGCGGTACTTGCCCGCACAGTGCCGGCCGGTGCGCCCTCAATCCGAGTATCGGCACGTGCTCCGTCAGAACAGCGCGGCCAGGCCGTGAGCGCGCAGGGAACGGGCCTGGGGACATTAGGCGGAGGAGAGCAGCGTGCAGACCAGTGTATGTGACACCCCAGTTGGGTTAGAACATAAACAGAGGCGAGCAGAGAGCTCCGGGCGCAGGGGTTGTGAGCACAGGACAGCGGGAGGCCCAGACCAATGGGGGGCCTCGGAGTTACCTCTCATGGAGCTGAATTATCACTTAAAAAAAAATTTATTGGGGTTTCATTGGTTAATAGAATTACATAGGTTTGAGGGGTACAGTTCTGTAATACATCACCTGTGTATTGCGTTGTGTGGTCACCACCCCAAGTCAAGTCTCCTTCCATCACCATGTGTCCCCCCTTTACCCACTTCTACCTCCCCCTGCCCTTCCCTCTGGTCATCACCATACTGTTGTCTGTGTCTATGAATTTTTGTTTGCTTTTCTTGTTTGTTCATTTGTTGCTTCAAGTTTTATATCCTATATATGAGTGAAATCATATGACTCTTGAATTTTTCGGCCTGACTTATTTTGCTTAGCATGATATTCTCAAGATCCATCCATATTGTTGCAGATGGCAGTATTTCATCTTTTGTTAGGGCTGAGTGGTATTCCTTTGTATATGTGTACCACATCTTCTTTATCCAATCATCTATTGAAGGGATTTTTTATACTGATTGCATGTTCAACAACATTTTGGATATATTAGATATCCAAAATATTGTGATAAATAAGACATATTAATTTTGCTTGTTTATTTTTACTTTTGAAAATTGTGGCTATTAGATCATTTAAAGCCACATGTGTGTCTTGCATTTATGTTTTATTGGATAGCACGGGCCTGAGGAAAAGTACTGGTGTCATTTTCTTCCCTGATAAAGAATTTGACTTTTTGCCCTGACCGGTTTGGCTCAGCGGATAGAGCTTCGGCCTTCGGACTCAAGGGTCCCAGGTTCGATTCCGGTCAAGGGCATGTATCTTGGTTGCGGGCACATCCCCAGTGGGGAGTGTGCAGGGGGCAGCTCATCGGCGTTTCTCTCTCATCGATGTTTCTAACTCTCTGACCCTCTCCCTTCCTCTCTGTGGAAAATCAATAAAATATATGTTTGGAAAAAAAAAAAGAATTTGACTTTTTACCTGGATGCCTTTTTTGCTTTAATACTTTTAAAAACATTTATTTCTTTTTTATTTTTGTATCAGTTTTGAGAGAGAGAGAGAGCTTTGCTTTAATACTTTTAAAAACATTTTTTTTTATTTTTGTATCAGTTTTGAGAGAGAGAGAGAGAGAGAGAGAGAGAGAGAAACTGATCCATTGCCTCCCGCAATGTGCCCCGACCAGGGATGGCACCCGTAACCTGAGTATGTGCCCTGACCGGGAATCGAACCTGCCACCTTTCGCCATATAGGAGGACGCCCAACTACCTGAGCGCTCCCGCCGGGCACTGGGGCAAGTTCCTAGAGGGGTCCATCCCCAAGAAAGGAGAAAGCCGAATGTTGATGAATTTCTTTTTTCCTTTTGGCTGGTGGGTATTCTTTGAATACCAGGAGAGATCAGCTTTGTAACGCGGTGTGGACTCTTCTACTGAAATGAAAAATTCTCTTTTCATCTGTGAATTATCGACCCTCATTGTGGTCTTTGTCTATTTGGGCTCTTGATTTTAGATGCAAAGCAAAACTACAGTTAGCTCTACGCTATGTTCTTGATCATTTCTTTTCTTTTAATATTATCCCCGAAGTGGGGGGGCATTTCCAATAGAACCCTGGCACCTTCTCTAAGCCCCGCCCCCGCCCCCAGGCCATTGGTGCTCTGCTCTTGCTAGGAGCCTGTAAGCTGATGATCTGTGCGTGTCCCCGTCCCCATCCCTCACCTGACCGCTCCCAGGTCCTGGCAAATCGGCGTGTCCCACGCTGAACTCAGCCTGCTTCCCACCATTCCTTATTCATGGTTTGGGCAAGCCACCCATCATCGTAAACTCTTCACTTTTCTAAGTTCACCTCATGTATAATAAATATATAATTTCTCCATAAATACGTAACGTATAGAAAATATATTTCACTAAGGGTCAGCTTTAAATGGCTTGATGATTTGAGATGGCTGCTTTTACTCGAGGCACCTCCCCTCTCTATAAATTATGCACTTGGAAAATAGGGCCTGTAAGTGCTGGCCATCAATAATTGATCATCAAGCCTTCCTAAATGATGGCTTGCCCAGTGGCATCCCGGCAGATGGCTGCTCTCTGTGGCTTTACGTTTGGATGGGGAACTGTCTAGCGTTTGCTTTGATTCGGGCTGCGATGGCTCTCGAAGAATCTTTCCTTGTTTGTTGTTTAATGAAAGAATCACCTGGCCTGGCCGGTGTGGCTCAGTGGTTGAGCGTCAGCCTGCGACCCAGGAGGTCACTGCTTGATTCCCAGTCGGGGCACATGCCTGGGTTGCGGGCTCGATCCCCAGTAGGGGGCGTGCAGGAGGCAGCTGATGGATGATTCTCTCTCATCATTGATGTTTCTATCTCTCTCTCCCTCTCCCTTCTTCTCTGAAATCAATAAAAACATATATTTTTTTAAAAAAAGATTCCAAAATGCATGGATGACAGAGAATAACCACCTCGAGTTTAGGGGGGAAAATCAGGAACAAACTGCACACACGTGTTCACTGATGGGCGTCACGGGGCCTCCTGGTGTTGGGCTGAGGGCAGTGGAGACGGGCCCCGGGGCCATCCGGTCAGGATGCTGAAAGGAGAGCGGTGATCTGTGCTGTGTTTGGTGGCGTGGCTTCTCGCTGCTACGGTTTTGCTTCTCTACTTGGTGCCGTGGTCTCGAGTCGAGAGGAGGACGCTGTCCTGGCCGTGGCAGTGGCTCGGGTGATGGTGGGGGGCCCACGTCTCCCCCGATCGGCGCCTGCCCCGCCCAGTCGGCCGGGTGTCATTGGCTCTCGTGTCTCCCTCTCCAGGAAGCTACTTTGCCAGCCACTTCATCATGGGAGGAGAGAAGTTCGACTCGGCCCACCCCGAAGGCTACCTGTTTGGAGAGAACAGCGACCTGAACTTCCTGGGGAACAGGCCCGTGGCGGTATGGCTCACCGTGTGCTGGGCGTGGGGGTGAGGCCGCTCCCTGCCGGGCCGGTCCCGTGTCTGTGGCTTGGTCTGAGTTGAGGGGGTCCTGGGAGGCAGGTGGGGGTCCCGGGAGGCAGGCGGGGGTCCTGGGAGGCAGGTGGGGTCCTGGGAGGCAGGCGGGGTCCCGGGAGGCAGGTGGGGGGTCCCGGGAGGCAGGTGGGGGGTCCCGGGAGGCAGGTGGGGGGTCCCGGGAGGCAGGTGGGGGGTCCCGGGAGGCAGGTGGGGGGTCCCGGGAGGCAGGTGGGGGGTCCCGGGAGGCAGGTGGGGGGTCCCGGGAGGCAGGTGGGGGGTCCCGGGAGGCAGGTGGGGGGTCCCGGGAGGCAGGTGGGGGGTCCCGGGAGGCAGGTGGGGGGTCCCGGGAGGCAGGTGGGGGGTCCCGGGAGGCAGGTGGGGGGTCCCGGGAGGCAGGTGGGGGGTCCCGGGAGGCAGGTGGGGGGTCCCGGGAGGCAGGTGGGGGGTCCCGGGAGGCAGGTGGGGGGTCCCGGGAGGCAGGTGGGGGGTCCCGGGAGGCAGGTGGGGGGTCCCGGGAGGCAGGTGGGGGGTCCCGGGAGGCAGGTGGGGGGTCCCGGGAGGCAGGTGGGGGGTCCCGGGAGGCAGGTGGGGGGTCCCGGGAGGCAGGTGGGGGGTCCCGGGAGGCAGGTGGGGGGTCCCGGGAGGCAGGTGGGGGGTCCCGGGAGGCAGGTGGGGGGTCCCGGGAGGCAGGTGGGGGGTCCCGGGAGGCAGGTGGGGGGTCCCGGGAGGCAGGTGGGGGGTCCCGGGAGGCAGGTGGGGGGTCCCGGGAGGCAGGTGGGGGGTCCCGGGAGGCAGGTGGGGGGTCCCGGGAGGCAGGTGGGGGGTCCCGGGAGGCAGGTGGGGGGTCCCGGGAGGCAGGTGGGGGGTCCCGGGAGGCAGGTGGGGGGTCCCGGGAGGCAGGTGGGGGGTCCCGGGAGGCAGGCGGGGGTCCCGGGAGGCAGAGGGCGCCTCCTCTGGCGGAGCTGGGTCGCTGGCACTAGGATCTGAGCCGTCCCAAGGCCACGGGCGTCTGCCCGAGGGTGAGACGGCTCCCAGAAGCCAGGTCTCCGCGGGGTTCAGACTTGGCCTCGGTGCGGCTCCGCCGACAGCCCTGGCCCAGCGCCAGCTCGGGCTCCTGCCTGTCCTTCCCTCTTCAGCGCGCTTGTCACCATAGAAACGTTTACTGCCCCGTCTCGCCCCGTGTATCACCTGCCTGCCCTTACAGCGGTTCTCAACCCTCCTAACGCTGCGACCCTTTAATACAGTTCCTCGTGTTGTGGTGACCCCCAATGTCATTGTTACAAACCGAACATCATTGAAGCATAGTGATTAATCACAAAAACAATATGTAATTATATATGTGTTTTCCAATGGTCTTAGGCGACCCCTGTGAAAGGGTCGTTTGACCCCCAAAGGGGCCGCGACCCACAGGTTGAGAACCGCTGCTTTAGGAGGTGAGTCTGTGGGGCCAGGACTACCCTCACGGTCGTTTCGCGGCACCAGAACGAAGCCTGCGCGTAGTGATAGCCCCCAACACACGTTTCGTGAATGAATGACGGAGACAGTGCCCTCAGGGTCCGGGTTGACGTGAGGCTCCGTCTGTCTCAGTCCCTTCGGCTCATCTGTCATTGTCTGGAGGGCTCCCTGCACCCAGCAGGAGGCTTTGGAATAGCAGCTGCCGTGGGCTGCGGAAGGTCCTGGACTCCGGACATTATTTCTATCTTCATAAAGGCCCACCCGTCAGTGCGTAGCGATAGCCCCTAACACACGTTTCGTGAATGAATGACGGAGACGGTGCCCTCGGGGTCCGAGTTGACGTGAGGCTCCGTCTGTCTCAGTCCCTTTGGCTCATCCCATCATTGTCTAGACCAGTGATGGCGAACCTTTTGAGCTCGGCGTGTCAGCATTTTGAAAAACCCTAACTTAACTCTGGTGCCGTGTCACATATAGAAATTTTTTGATATTTGCAACCATAGTAAAACAAAGACTTATATTTTTGATATTTATTTTATATATTTAAATGCCATTTAACAAAGAAAAATCAACCAAAAAAAATGAGTTCGCGTGTCACCTCTGACAAGCGTGTCATAGGTTCGCCATCACTGCCTTAGACAGTGGTTCTCAACCTTCTGGCCCTTTAAATACAGTTTCTCATGTTGTGACTCAACCATAAAATTATTTTCGTTGCTACTTCATAACTGTAATGTTGCTACTGTTATGAATCGTAATGTAAATATCTGATATGCAGGATGGTCTTAGGCGACCCCTGTGAAAGGGTCGTTCAACCGCCAAAGGGGTCGCGACCCACAGGTTGAGAACCGCTGATAGGCAGATTTATGAATGGAGAGGTATTCAGTAAGACGAGGGTCACGTAGGGCCTTATCGTTTTCTTAATCAGATGACATGGCCTTTTGTTGTATCTGACTCTTTTTTCATGAAACAAGCTAGTTAGAAAGAAACCGTATTTATAGAAAGAATGGTGCCCATGCAAGCTGGGGACTCCCAAAAGGGCCACCCAGTCTCGGAGGGGCCGGGCCCAGGTCCTGAGAGTGAAGGTAGGAAACCATGGGCTCCCCAGCAGAGTCCTTTTTATTTTTCACGAAGATTAATCTGGTGATGGTCCTCCATCTTGAGCTGTAACTAAAAAACATTTTTGTTGGTGGCGGCTCTATTTCCTTCCTTTTTATCTGGGGTTGACCCTTCTTACAATCCTTTGGCCAGCAGTGGCTCAGCGGTATTTTCAAAATACCAAGTCCTGCTTGGCCACTGCGGCTTGGTGGTTGAGCGTCAAACCAGGAACCAAGAGGTCACCGGTTCGATTCCCGGTCAGGGCACCTGCCTGGGTTTTGGGCTCGATCCCCTGTTGGGTGTTTGCCTCTCTCTCACTGATGTTTCTATCTCTCTCTCCCTCTCCCTTCCTCTCTCTCTAAAAATCAATAAAACATTAAAAAAAAAACACCAACTCCTCTGGCTTCAAGTTAAGTTCTGCCGGCGAAGCCTATTCGGACGGACGGACGGACGTCCGCTCTGCGTTTGCTGCGGCTGCTCAGCCGGTCGGGTCGAGGAGAGAGCGCTCTCTGTTCTGGCTGCGCAGGGACGGCGTTTCCTATGGGCGTGCCCTGCGCATCCCTGTCTCCCTTCCTTCTTGCTTCTCTCTGGTGTCAGAACAGTTTTTGTTGGTTGGTTGGTTTTTTTACATTTTTGACCTTTTTGGGGGCATCCAGATGATTTTACAGCAAGTCAGTGCTCGGTTGGTTCGGGTTGGGGCTTGCGCTGGCTGACAACTTCCCCCGAGTTCCCGGCTGAGCCTCCACCTCTCCGTGAGCCTGCGGGTGACTGGCGAGGGGCCTTGACCTTAAGTCCGAGTCTTCTTCCCCACGGAGCACCCGCGTGGGCCTCTCCGCGGTGGTTCTCATGTAGCAATCATTACATGTGCCTCACGGTGTGCGGAGCAAGTGTTTTTCTCAAAAGACATCAAAGTTTTACATGAGGAAAGCAAGTCAGAAACTCGCTGTTGCCAAATAGTCAGCAGGATGTAAAGTGCAGCTCAGGGAATAGAGTCGATAATGTTATAATAACCTCCTGGCAGCGGGCCTCCGTGGTTGAGCATCGGCCTGTGAGCCAGAAGGTCACGGTTCGATTCTGGGTCAGGGCACAGGCCCGGGTTGTGGGCTCCATCCCCAATAGGGGGCGTGCAGGAGGCAGCTGATCCATGATTCGCTCTCGTCATTGATCTTTCTATCTCTCCCTTCCTCTCTGAAATCAGTTTTGAAAAATGTAATAACTATGCCAGGTGGGGAAATATCGGGGCAGGGGAGGGGGAGAGGGGGGAACACTTTGTAAAGTATACGATTGTCTAGCCCAGTGGTTCTCAACCTGGGCTGCACATTAGAATCACCTGGGAATCTTTTTAAAATCCTGATTTCTGGGCCTCGTCCTCCGGAAGTTCTGTTTCTTTGTTGCTAATGTCAGGGTACATGCCCGGGTTGTGGGCTCCATCCCCAATAGGGGGCGTGCAGGAGGCAGCTGATCCATGATTCGCTCTCGTCATTGATCTTTCTATCTCTCCCTTCCTCTCTGAAATCAGTTTTGAAAAATGTAATAACTATGCCAGGTGGGGAAATATCGGGGCAGGGGAGGGGGAGAGGGGGGAACACTTTGTAAAGTATACGATTGTCTAGCCCAGTGGTTCTCAACCTGGGCTGCACATTAGAATCACCTGGGAATCTTTTTAAAATCCTGATTTCTGGGCCTCGTCCTCCGGAAGTTCTGTTTCTTTGTTGCTAATGATGTGGCCCCACCCCAGAACAAAGAAACAGAATTTCCAGAGGATGAGGCCCAGAAATCAGGATTTTAAAAAGATCCCCAGGTGATTCTCATGTGCAGCCCAGGTTGAGAACCACTGGGCTAGCCACTGTGCCGGACACCTGAAGCCGATACAGAATAATATTGAATGTCAACTGTGATGGAAAAAATTACAAAAAAGAAAGAAAACAAATCCGAGAGCTCCGTGTAGGTGGCTAGCAACGGAGTATAAGAGTGAAGGCAGCACACCTCCCCTCCCCTGTGCCAGCTAACGCTCATGGCACCCTCACTGGCTGCCAGGCCGGCGTGCTGAGCGCTTCCGACCTGCCGTCCCCACACCCTAGTGAGGAAGGTTCTCCCCTGACCGCTGAGGAGCGCGAGGCACCAGGAATCTAGACGAAGGTTCCAAAGGCCGTGAGCGCCTGCCTGGGGCCTGGAACCCGCCGTCCGGCCCCAGAGCCATTTTGCGGTCAGATCGGGTGGACCCGGGCCCCCGCCCGCATTCTGTGTGGGAGCCGAGCAGGTCATTGAGTGCCCCCGTGAGCTGTGGCGCGGCGTCTAAAAGTAGACCGCGTGGCAGCATGTTCTCCCGGAGGACTTCTCGAGCGAGTTCTCCGGGTGTGTAATTCCATCCGCCCTGAGGCCCCGGGTCGCCGGCCC